CTCCTGGTGGCTGTGCCAGTGCTCTGCTTTCAGGGCAGTGATAACCACAGTGTGAAAGCAAGGAACACTTCATGCTCATTGTCTGCTTCATCATGGTTGTTCTTTTTTAAGCTTGTTGGCTTTGCCAGTGATGATTTTGTTTTAAACTTCAGAAAAGACAATGCTGGCGGAAAGGATTCCAGTGCCTTCCAGTCCTGTTCCCATAGCAACTATTGACCTTGTACAGCAGCAGTCGGAAGATATCATGCCTAGGACTGAGCCCAGACTCCCTCCAAAGAAAACTAAACACCAGGAAGAGCAAGAGGATGTGAACAAGCCTGCCTGGGGCATCAGTTCTTCTCCATGGGTCACCTTAGCTTATGCTGTCTACCAGATAAAAGAGATGGTTAAACTATCCAAAACCAATCCCACTCCTGAGAATCAGCCTTTACAGGTAATCTTCTAATGTTCAGGAAGCTCTTCTGTAATTTTAGCAGCTTTAAAACCTTTATAGCTCTGTAAATCTGTTAGTACCTGGTAGGTATTTTCTGTCAGCTTGTAGTGAAACTGGACTTGTGACACAGTAGTTGAAATACTGCATGAAATAGAGATGTTTTCTATGTATAATGTAGCAGGAATAACTTTTCAAGTAGTACCTTCCTGAAGATGGTAGAAGAGACATAGAAAGGGACTCTATTTTACAGACTTTGATATATTTGTATTCCCTTTAAGTTTACATTTCTTTTCATATTAGTTGGAATCTGCAGGTTATGCGTTTTGTAAAATTTACAAGGTGATAATTGAACATGAAGATGCACAGCTGCTTAACAGACTGTAAAATTAATTTTATTTAGTTTTGCTTCTTTAGATGATGCTGTCAGACATGTACATGGCTGCTGTGTACCAGACAGCTGCTGAAGGGATACAGAACTTTCTTTTCAAGTGAAGTTAATCTTTTTTTTACCTAGATAAGAGCTATCCTGGGACTTAAAATATCTTAAAAAAGCTGGTGCTTACTGTGCACCATTACCCTTCTGTTCAGTCTCCCCACAGAGCAGCTTGTAATAGCTGCCTCAGTGGTTGGATGGGCTTGGATCTTGAACTTGTAATGCTCTGGCCATGCCTTTCCAGCTGGAGCTGGAGCACACTGCTAAGGCAAGTAGGGAGGTGCTTGTCAGTCAGGGTTTGGAACAGCATGGGCAGCCTCAGCCCTGTGTTTACCTGTCTGAAGTTCAGGGTGGGTGAGGTTCCTTCTTGCACCCAGTAGGCGTAAACACAGAAATGCTTTTTCCACAAGTGCTGTCTTTAGAAATGGGTAATTTGGGATGTGAGTGTGAATCAGCAGAGCTGGATGTAGGAATTTCACCTGGTCAGTGACCTCCTGCCTTTCTTACTTGACTTTATTCTTGGAAATGTGTGAGAGGCGTGCTTTAGGTTGGCTGGGGTTTTTGTTTGGTTTTGACCTTTCCAGAGTCAAAGAATGTGAGCTAAAGATATCACAAGGTCTCTGACATCAAAGTAATATGTCCAAACAAACTGCTCAGTTTCCCATTGCAAATGTCCTCAGGGTCTTGGTTAGTGTAAGCTGCCCTCTGTTAAATCAGAGCAAAGAAGTTACACAGAAGTCAGGCAATGGACATGGCAAGAAAATAATGTTTTGCAGGTGTGTGGTGTCTGAGAGTGACTTGTCCAGCACTGCCAGACACAACCCAGCTGCTTCCCTGAGCACTGCAAAGTGCCAGAAGGGCTTTTGTGCCTGTTCTCTATGGCACATGTTCTTTTCACAATGCTTTTATTCCAGTAAAAATACAGTGCTGATACAAAAGTACTTGTTAATGTGCCAAAATTCAATGCACCAAGAAAATTATATCTTTTTCTTCATCATGTATATTCTCCAAAATTTCTCATCCTTCCTTCAGTGTTCCAAGAGGACAAACTTGCTTCAAAATAGTTCAGGCTCAGTAATTTATTTTAGGCTGATGATATTATAATACTGAAACCAGGAAAAGGCTGTCAAGCTCTCTTACTGAATTTGTTAAATAGCTTCCTTAAAATGAAAATAGATCATTTGGAAGGAGGGTCAGTGAACAGAGAATTAGTGACAAAAATGATTCCTTCTTACTTCATTAAGATTATGGATTAGTTTTGCTTCTGCTTGCTCATAGTCCTTCAAACAAAAGGACATACTAGCCTTATTCTCTATGCTTCAGTGCAAAACAAATAATCATAGGCAGTGCATCACCTTCTAATGAAATGTGTTAGTGTGGAGATTTGCTGTTTCAGCCCTGGGAATGTAACTGGTGTTTAAATGTGCTCTTATATGTTCCCTGATAAGGCTTGATTGAGAAGACTGGATAGATTTGTACATCAATACAGCAAAAATTCTGCCAGTCAGAAAGTCTGAGCAGTATCTTGGAGAGGGCGGGATCAACTGAGAAAAATTGTATTTAAGAAGCATGAGAAAAAAAAAGTTATAGACTTGCTTAGTCATAAGAATTATCTTGTCTAAACACTTTGAAGACCAGTTAATTGTTTTTTTCCCCTTGAAACACAAGTTTGTTTTTTGCATGCTTCTTGGGAAAGTGCAGTTAGGAAAAGATATGGAAGGTAAGCTGCTGTCTGCTTGCTATTAGTGTCATCTGGATTTAAATGTACTACTTTTGCTTTGCTGCTTTAAATTTGACTCGTTATGTTGTGGGCATTCAAAGCAAGTGCCTTGTGATGTTCCAGCAGTGCCTGAATGCATCTGGGGGGTGCCAGTGGGGACAGTGTCCTGAGTATTTATGTTGACTTTTGGCATGCAACCCTTTCCCCTCTTTTTAGAAAACCAATGAGAATTGCAGTGCTTCATCAGCCAGCTCAGCAAGACAACCCCAAAATCCAAGAGATTCTGAGCAGTCCAGAAACTGTTCAGCACCAACAGCTGCAGCACCATCAGATTCCCAAGCAGATGGCAGCCGTGTGGTGTCGGATGGTGATGCTCAGCCTGCTGCTGCAGGGCCCTGAGGTGTGCTCATCTTACCAAATCCAGTGCATGGAATCCTGCTTCTCACCTGGGAAACGCTGGAGTAGGAGCTCTAAAGTAGGACTTCCTTCATCTTAACAATCATAATGTGATGCAGTGCAAGCTTTTAACTATATAAAGAATATTCATATGACTACACAGAGCAACATGAGCAGGGAAGCCAAAAGGTCGGATTCTTGAGGGAAGTGATGTGGCCAGATCTAATGGTAGGAAGAATTCTCAGCTGCTTTGCTAAAGCTGAATCAAGTGCTATGAAATTTCTTTACCATCTGTGGAAGAAAGGGAGTTCACTCCTCGTTTGTTGAGGCACAGTGTGTCTGATTTGATTGGATTTTTTTTTCCTTAAATTTATTCCCAAAACAAAAGTAAATTACTTTTTAAGAGAGACACTGAATTTCCCTGAACACTCTATCAGAAAATACCAGATGTAATAATTCTAGCAATGTCATGAAAGTGTCTCTGGAAAGATTTCTCAGAAACAGAGTAGCTTAAGAAAGTATATCTTAATATTATGGTGAGGGATGAAGTAAACCGCATGCATATTCAAAGAATATGTTTCTGAAGCTAATGTTCTGTTGTTTGAGATAGAAGTTTAGTTCTGCAAAGCAAAGGTTTTGAACTGATGTTTTAGTGCAACACAAAAGCTGGAGGAAGGCTTCTAAAGAAGTTACCCTCTGTGCTTGCAGCCCTGCAGGTGGGCATAAGGTTGTGTGCATTTGGGTGATTTTAGGTTTGATGCTATATTGAGACAAGAGTCTTTGATCTAGATTGCACAGCCTGAGATGGATCAGTGATCTTTTTGGGTTTTTTATTTCATCATCTATACAGGGGTTTATTTAATGCAGTGTAGTTATTCTGGTTATTTATTAAGAAAACAGTAAGCTTTAAGTGCCTAGGGAAGGTGGGGGGGTAGGGAGGAATCACCTAAAACTCTTAAATGTTTAGGATTATAGGGGCAAAGTAGTGGATGCAGAAATCAAGTAGAGTGAGATTCTCAGGAGGAAGCAAATGTAACTTAATTGCAGTATGTTTAGGAAGTTACTTTGCCCAATGTCAAGACACTGGAGGACTTTGGATTATGTTTTGTTATGCTTCTTAATACTGTCTGCAGCCAGCTCGTGCTGGTGCATAGTGAAAATTGCTGCTGGAGGGAAATCCTCGGGCTCAGGGAAGAGTCGGGGGGATTAGTCAGGACAGGGTTTTGGCCCATTTTCTTAGATGAGCAGCTTGTTCCCGGGAGATGCTGAGCACTCTCCTCCCCTGGGACTGAGGGAGCACCGCTCAGCTGCCCTCCTGGAAGTGGGATGTGTGTGAGGTACGAGGCCTTCCATGGGGAAAGGTCAGGGGGACTGAGCTGAGCAGAGGCAAGGCCAGCAGGAGCCCAGAGTCAGGGAGAGAAGGTGGCTGCAGCTGAGCAGGAAAGGGGGTGCACAGGTTTACCCACTTTGACATCTGTTAGCTTGACTGAAGGGGTGTCCCGTAGCTGTGCTTTAGCTGTGCTTTTAGAACAACCCACGTTCTGGCAGTGCCTGGGACCAACACCATAGACAATAAAAAGAAACATCAATGACTATCCACTAGTTATTTTTTTGCACTTGAACTTAAATGTACTGTACTCACATAAATCCTCATGACTTGTCTAAGTGTCCTTTAAAATCAGAAATGTATTTATTGTATGTTTGTATAAATTGGGGGAGGACTAAAAGACTGAACAGGTGACAGGACAGAAGGATGCTAAAAATCATCTTGAGGCTAACCAACCATTTGTTGAGTTCATGCTGTATGGTGTTACCTCAGCTGCTACTGCATAGCACCTGGATTGTGAAGTGAAGAGCTTGTACACTGTGTTTACACTTCAGAATTGTGTATTTGAAATGCCTGCTCTTTTTGGAATTGTATAGTCATTCTATGTTGCAAAATGGACATGTACACCTGGATTTTGATATTTGTGAAACTGTAAAAACTGTGGTAAGAAATATAAAATATCCATAACATATTTAATAGTATCAATGTGAACTTTTATTTTTTCGTATTAGTGTCAGCAGTGACGTAACCAACCTGAAGTGAAAATAATTCAGTGATTATGACCTTTTACAAAAGTTACTGGAGGATGCTGAACCAAGAGCCTGGGAAGTACTCTTGCACTGTGTTAAAATAGTATTTGATAATAAAATCTGACTGCAGGCACCAGTTCCCTTCTGTGGGGTGCAGGGACTGTAAGGGACACAAACCAATGTGCGTTGTAAACTGGTCAGTGTGAACGAGTGCAGGGCATCACTGTGAACACTGCAGAGACCAGAGAAAAATGTAACATCCTTTGTTAAGGGAGAAAGGCTTTTGTAAGAGTTAGGGCAATGGATTAATGCCTAGATTCTGTTCCTAGATTTTCTAGCTGAAAACCAAAACAACAGTACTTAACAATTGTGTTTCAGTAAGGCTGTGTCATCTCCACATATCACAGGAGCACTGTGCAAGTGAACAGGGCTCCAGTGACAGCAGCTGCTTTTGGTGGGTTTTGTTTATGAAACCCTTTCAGTGTTGGAACAGGCTTGGGAGGATTTTTAAGGTCACTATTAGCTACCCACTAAGGTAGCCATCATCTTTCTCCTATTGCTGCCATTCTGTTTTGCATGTATTTAATTGTTTCCTGCTCTACTTTGGATAGTATTTACCCATCCCTGCCAAACAATGGATCTCACAACTGCATACAGCGTGAGTGATTTTTATTTAATTTTTATTGCTTTTTAACTTTTTTCCTTGTTGAAGGAGGTGTACCTGGTATTCTTCTAAAACATGTAATTACCTAAACTAAGGGGTGGGGGGGGCGTTTCCATTTAACATATTGCTTAGGTAAAATACTACCTTAATGTATAATCTGGGTTATTGTATGTAAATACATGTTACGTATTTACATGCCTCCATATTATGGAAGGGTAATCTTCACTACCTCACTAAAGAGAGGACATTGAAAAACCTGTTTGTTTAAGCTCAGACAAATGTGATTCCCTTCCTTGGCCTCAAATTTCTTGGATAGGAGTTCTTGGCTAACTATAAAGTACACCAAAAAAAACCTCTGTACTTCAAAACATGCAGAAAACATTAAGACATCTTGTTGAGTATCCTTTACCTAATCTGTAATGATTTTAAGTACTCCATTTTCATGATGGTGACACAAAGATAAAATAAATCTGATTTGGTCTATGGTCATTGTTCAGGGGGGAGTTTTCACCCTTCTCCCAAACCAGCCAAGATAATGAGGCCTTCCTCTGTTTTTACAACTGCTTGTTGCTAGTGCCAGAGCCCCCCAAGCCAAACCTGACTTCCCAAGTGTGGGTGGCAATTTAGCTGTGGATTTGGTAGCACCAGCCAAAGGTGAGTCTTGCTGCTAGTAGCTTCCTAAACAGAACTCTTGCTCTATTCTTGAATGTTCTTGATTTAACAGCAAGTTCATTTTGGATCACCTGCTTGACATGGCTTTTCTCTGCTAAACATGCTTTAGATTCTGCATAGGTACTTAAAATTTTATGACACTAAAAGGTGTTAAGTGCCTCTTTACTGTAAAATGGAAGTATTTCTTTTCAACTGAAGCAAAGATGAAACAATATAAAGGAGAAAAGACCACATCAGTAAGGCTTTAAGGCTTTCAAGCACCAACTCTGAGTCCTTTGTTACACAGAGGAGCTCTTGGATTATGGTATGGCCACACTTAGCACCATTGGAGGTAACGGGTTTTGTCCCGAGGAGAACCCAGGAAGCACCTGCACTGCTGAAGTCATGCTGCACCACTACACGTGTTACAAAGAACAGACAGCCCTTTTAAAGCAGACAGATCCCAGTCTGACATGCCTTTCTTGAGCACCAACTGCTCATTGCTCACAGTTCCCAGTGGCTTTGTGAGATCAGATGGTGAATTAATCAGAATTAATGGTCTTTTGTCTTCTGCAGTTTGTAAGACAGTAAAGGAAAACAGCAGAGTGAGAACAGAAGAATACAGGGAGGGAGAGTGTAAAGAACAAAAGAAAGAAATGACATCTGCAGGTGGGTGAGCTGAGGTACACACACTACTCCCTAGCCTAGGACTGTGTAATACATAAGCTGAAAGACACCTGACTACTGCCTAAATTTCTCTCTGGTCCTCCCCACTTCTCCTGTGAGAAGCCCCACAGACAGCTGAGAAAGGGAAGGTAAAAGCCAGGTTTTACCCTCATTGTTTTCCAGGAATGATTTTCTGCTTCTTAACTCAGTGAACAAACTACTGGGTACTCTGAGGCCAGTGGAGCTGTGTGGGTTATCTGCATTCCCAGTTCCAGGCTCACAGCAGCACTCTGGCTCTGCTAATAGCAGTTTCTCCAAGCAGCTGAAACAGCTTCAGCCTTTATGGGCTTTTTGGAGCTCTGCAGAGGCCTGGAATAGACAGCAGCACCTGCCTGAGGTAAGCTGACACTGAAACTGAAGGCAATAGCAAAAATATTTAGGGATGGAAAACTTCTCCTAAACCATTATCAGAGGTGGAGAAGCAGAGGGCTAGAGAAAGGTTTAGCAGAAGATCTGTACAAGAGGGAAGAAAGTATGTAAATAAACAAAGACTTGGAAAGAACAAAATGCAGTGTAACTACAGCAGAGGTCAAGAATGGAATAATATGGGCAGAGGGTGAAAAATCAGGCAGCATTCTGAGGAGCAAGGGGAGCTTAAAACTAAAGGCAGAGGCAGGATGAAGCTAACAGACCAGCCCAGCCAGAAGAGGAAACAAACCTCGTTCAGCTGCATCAACTCTCTATAAAAGTCTCACAAACAATGAACACAGTTTATCGACACTCTAAAAGCATTACCACAAGTCTTGACACAGAGGGTACTTAGTAAAAGGAGAGTATTAAAAATGGCTTTTCCTCCCTCTAGTGCTCAGCACAGAGGACTTGATGATGGAAAAAAAACCAGATTCTCTGTTTACTAGAGGTAGTGTTCTTGGTAAAAGAAGGCATCCTGGTGGACAGGCTGTCTCCAGTACTTGCCTTAGAAATACACAATGTTTGTTGCCCTAGTGAAAATACCCATAGCATGAGATTCCTCTTCACTTGAACAGCCCCTATGGTAATCAGGTAACATGGGTGATGCAGGAAAGAGTATTTTTCAAAAATCCTTCTTTGTCCACCAGCAACCACAAGAAAAGGCCAAGTGTGAGTTCTCATTCTGTATCCTCCCTTTCTAGGAGAAATGTGTTTTCTGTCTTTTTTGTTGTTGTTACTTCTCAAAGCAGCTCAGCAGCATATGGAAATGGAATTTGTGTATGCATTTCATTTTCATTCTCCTCATCTTCTTCATGGACAGAATTGGCTGGCTCATCTTGCTCAAACTGTGCCCTTGTCTCAAAGAGCTGCTCTTCCAGGAAGAAGCTCCCAATGCCATACTGCTCATCATGCGCCTTTGTTTCTGCAGCTGAGACGTGGGGAGATCCCAGAACAAAAGCTGCAAACCTGACCAATTTTGAAAGGGAGAAGTTATCAACTGAGAAATTAAAAGAAGAAATACTGTAAATTCTAGGGGTATTGCTATTTAGGAAGGAGTGTTGTAAGGATATCCCCACGGGCAGTGCAGATGAGGGGAAGTTCCAGTAACGGATGGCAACAACCACAAAGATTGGTTTTCCCAACTCATCTTTTCAGTATTTTCTGTAGAAGTAACTTTTGCTCTTCTGGAAACCATCTGCAAGGTCTTGTGACTAAGCAGGAAGATCTAACTTCTTTTTCACATCTTGTCAGTACTTGCAGGGTAATCCAGAGTAAGCATTTGTACAGTGGGGTAGTTGGTACTTTAGCTTCTAAAAATAAATTAAAGCCGTAGCATATTTGAGACAAAGGCTGTAAGAATTCAGGTGTGTTGATATTGCTAATGAAAGGAAAAAATGAAAATTCTGCACTCCTACGTTGTATGTAGTCACTTTGTTGCTGGTGCTGTCTGTGCACTGTGGGCAAGCTGAGCTCAAGTCTTCCCAAAGAATTCCTGCCTCTGGGGAAGCTGGAGCTGCAGACTGGGAATTCTGCAGCTGCTCCAAGTAAATGCCAAAAGAAAGCATGAACTTAGCACTGTCCCTATACTGCAATCCCCCACAAATCTTCCTTTCAGTAGGCAACTCCATTGAGGAGAGAGAATGGAGCTGGAGGTTTCTGGCAAGAGTGTGGGAACAGACGGCAGTTCTGACACCTGGGTAAGTGTCGACAGCATCAGAGAAATGTATGAAAAAGGAAATGCAGCTACATTCTGGAGTTCTGGTAAACTGATCAATAATTTACATTTCAGACTTAACATTTCTGTGAGATGAATGTCGTCACCTCGCTGTTCTTGGAAGCTCTGTTAGTCTAAATGGGGAACAGTTTGCCTTGGGATGAACCACAGCCTGATGCTTAATGGGAGCTGGGAAGGGTTCTCCAAATCTGATTGTTGCTGGTTCTCCTTTTTATTTCCCTTTTCACAACCAGTGAACAGTCTATAACAACTCTATTAATGAAATGATGGCTAGAAAATATGTGTGTCTCAAGTTGTTTTGTACATTTGGCAGTATTTAGTTCTAAAATACAACAGTAAGCTTTCACTTTTTTCCCTCTCCATCATTCTAAAGAAGGCAAGCAGCTTAGAAAGTAAGACTGTTTAACAGTAAATCTATAAAACCTGACAGAGAGGCTGTCTAAGTGCCAGTCCAAGGAAGATTAAGGTTCTGAAACTGGGTTTAACTTGTTACTGAATAAATTCCAAACTGACTGGGGTTCCTTTAAAATGGTGACACTTGGTTCTGTGGCAAGGACTAAGTCTTTGTGGCTGGCTAATATATGAAACTCTGCTTCTGATCTCTTTGAGTTTTTGTTTTGATGGGAATACACTGTTATGATTAATTTTATACTCTACAGGGTTTTCTGGCTTTGCTTGCTTGACCCTTCCTGAACTATATTTGTCTTAGGTTTATCTCTTAAGCTATTTATAGCATAACTCTTCTGCCTGTTCTACTTGCTCGTTGCAGGTATTGATTTCTTTATCTGTATGCTTAGTCTTAGATAGTGATACTTCAATAATAGGATTCCCTGACTGTGCAGATTTGCAGTTGGAGAGCTTAATATAGGTAATATTTGAGTATGTATCTTCACCGTGCCCCAGTTTTACACCACAGAAAAGGGCACCACTCTAAAACCTGAAGCAGGGCTATTTCACTGGTTATAGAGCCACCAGGGTCTCTGCAAGAGCTTATAGAAGCACTGTAAGAACCCTTTAAGTTCTGTGACCATGAATCAGCTGTGAAATTCTGCAAATTCCTAAGAGTAATTTGTGGTCAGGGAGGAACAAACAGAAATTCAATGCCACCAGCAAGTAATACCCTTGAGAGGTATGGCTGTGGTCCTGAGTGGGATATGCAAGATAAACACACCTGGAACAGTGCCTGAAGTGGCATTTAGGTCTGCAATGTGTTCAGGTGAGCAATGTGTTTCCTGTTTTAGAGAAGCCAAGTTTTCTTACCTGTGTGGAGCCTGGAGTTTGTATACAGCTATCCATGTTGGGAAGTCAGGGCTCCTGCAGAATGAGCGCAGCTCCTCCAGAGCTCTGATCGTTTCACTTTCACCTTGTTCTCGATACTCCTCTTCAGTAAGGTATTTAAACACCAATTTTTTTGATTTAAAGTGATGCTTCATTTTTCTAGAACAAAATGAAAATAACCAGTATTTATAAAGTCATCTGCCATGTAATTATGTGCCCTTTTTCTCTAGACCTGCTATTAAAATGCATTAGTCACCTCTACCCTTTTAAGAGAACAAGCTGCATTCTTACATTTGAGGGCAAGGTATGTAATGTTTGCTAGCCTGTTTACCCTAGGTCTTAACCAAAGCTGTAGAATTTCACATGATATTTAATGAGCTTCAGATGAGCTTTAGATCAGGTCCTTATTGTGTATGTATGGACTAGAATCTCACAGAATTGAAGAGATGGCTGCTTGCTCAGCCATTTTTAGGTGCAAAATGCAAAATGTGTCTGTGCAGAGACATGGGCTGAATCAAAACTCAGTCTGCATATGTTACTTCAAAGATAAGCAATGCTCTAGGCCTGTTGTGAGTTGTTCATGTTGTTTACTAGCTAGCTTCTCTTAAATCTTGCTCTGAATTACAAAACTCAGTAGTCTGAGGCCAAAATGTTTACAATCTGATGGTTTTTTAGCTGCTGCGTAGCAATGTATAATATAATTAGATATAAATTAGAAAGTGTGCCATGTTCTGTTTCCTTCTGTCAACTGCTTTCAATTTAAATGTTGTGATGAGTTAAGATAAGCAAGGGCTGGATGCCCATAAAACTTTCAGCTCTGTATAAAAACACCTGCTCCAACATCAGCAGCATTCAGCTTTCCTTCTTATATCCCTTTAAAGCAGAGAACTGTAGTAGTTGTTTAGGTCAAATGGTGAAGGGTCTTGCTGGCTCAGTGAGATCCACTGTTCTTAATAACAAATACTGAAAGACTCAAAGTTATTTTGATATATTTGCTGCTCTGAACTGTGTATCTGGCATTGTGGCCTCACACTTTGGTGCTGTGGCTTAAGGATTTTGAAACAGAAAAATTCAAAAGCCCTTATCATTCTCCTAAGAGCAATTACTTGTAGAGCTGTATTTCTTTATAGAAGCATCAGTTCATAAAAACCAAAAAGAACTACATGAAGAATAAACTACAGTGTTTCAGAGTAAAACTTGAAAGTAAAAGTAAAACTTCTGGCCACATCATACTGATTCCAGAGCATTCTGAACCTGTTTACAACAGGTGCTGATCTTACGTGTTGCTTTTGAAACAGCTGTTGCTCCTCAGCTGCAGGCAGAAATTGGTCTACAACAAATGACAAATTCTACCTAAAATAAACACACTTCAACTCAGGCTGCTTCATACTTCAGCATGTAAAAAGAGAAGATAAGACTAAAGCAGTATGTTCTTCAAAACTAAACAGTGTGTACAAAAAAAAAATGAAACCCAAATTATTTGTTTTTTATTATTTTGGTTATGCCAGTTCTAGCTTTTGCCTCTTCCTACTTCTCTGCGGTTCAGCAGAGTCCACAGCTATGGAACAGTCTGTACTAAAGTCTCTGAAACTGGATGCCATCCATCTCTGAAGGTAAAAAACAGATGTCAATTGGCAAGGCTTTTTAGAATCTTCATTTGAGCATTGCACTTGTGCTAAAGCATACTTCAAATTCAAGGATGAGCAAACACGTTGTTCCTGTATTGCTACTGCAAACACTTAGCAAATTAAGGTCTACCTACTGCAAGCAGTTCCTGCCCAATTCCAAAATGTAAATGGGCCTCTAGGAATACTGAGAAATATCTCCCTAGTTCTGATAGATTGCTTCTATGAACGATAAGGACAAAAACTAAAATCATGGAGAACGCTATTTTGTGGATATGTGATTTTAGTCTTTGAACTCTCTTCAACCTCCAAGGATTGTCACTTTTGAACAGCTGCATCCTTGGTGATGGTACACTGTTTTATCCCTAGGATTCCATATGAGTTCCCTGCAGCTTCTCTCACTACACATCAAACCAAGGCAGTATTGCTGCAGTCTCATCAATCAAACAGAAATGTTCTGGTTGCCATATGCTGTGGACTAGAAGATGCTACATTTGTCCTTAAGAACACAGACACACTTCTCCATTATCCACAGAACCAAACTCGTGCTTAAAACTGACAAGTGGAAAATAAGTTCTGTGTCTCTGGACCTTAAACCTTTCCTAAGGCTGTTTTACATTTGGCAAAATTCTGAACTAGTACTGGAAATTCCTACACCATTATTGAAGCGTAGGGTTTTTTTCATGAGCAGCTTACAGTATTCCCAGGTTCTCCCCGGACTTAGACATTCACAAACAGACACAGACCTGGCAATATGACAGGCAGCACCCAGGGGGTAACAGAGGCCTTTGGAGCAGAGGCTGACTGCTATGACTGCATATGCAACTTGAGGGACGGTGACTCCAAAGTAGATCAGGACAAAGGCTGTTAACTGGAGCGTCCACGTGAACAAGGTTATGCTGAGCTCCGTGGTCAGCGGCCCATGCTGATAGCTAATGGCAAAGCTGGTCATCCCAACAGCCAGAAAATACCCTGTAGGAACAGAAAAGGACATGGAGAAAAAGATGCAAACTACCCCTAGAAACTGTACTTTGCTTCCCAAAGCTGGCAGGTGCTGTGAATTGTAGCCTGCTGATTCTTGTGTTGTCTTACAGGTAACTGCAAGATGTTTTATGTGCTTGCTATTTCCAAAGTGTGCCAAGAGTTCACAAGGTTATCTCTGAACAGCTTTTAGCCAATGCTGTGGGCTGCACATGAATTCTCCTCACATGACCATGTTGAGGCAGGTGCCAGATCAATAGGTTTGTCAGCCCTGCAGCCACATCCCATTCCCAATGTCTGCATCCATTTCCTACATCCAGCAAGCTGCAGACCAGAGGAGCTGCCCTTTTGCTCTTACAGGAAAAGTATGTAACAACAGCAAATAAATGAACAAATAATGCAAGCAAAATCTGCTCTTAGAACTAGTCCTCTACATCAAACTCTTTATTCAATGATACAATGTGAGTAAACACTCATTTGAGTGGATTAGGAACCTTTAGAATATTTCAACATCTATGGCTTAGGAGAAAATAGAACTCTATATGAGTCACTTGATTTTCTTTTTTTATGGGCAGGTGTTCATCTGACCACTAAATTAAACCAAAATCTGCAGCACGTTTCTTGGTAATTTTCTTACCCAACAGGTAGATTTTGTGTTCAGACCACAACCACTGTATATTCTCTTTGAAGCAGTAAATAAAATAGAGAGAGACCATCCAGGAGCCACTCATTAAAATCCAGAAGGTACTGTGCTAGAAATTTAAAAAAAAAAGTGAAAAAAAAAACTTCATTAAAAAAATTCAAGGCAGAATCAGGACCATTGTTTCTAAAGGAACTCACAGGCAAAAACAGATGTGAAATTCTTTAGACCTACAGGGTTTGAGACTTCCACTGCACAGTCCTCTGCATGCTACAACAACACAGTCTCAATTCCAAGCAGAGCAACTGCATCCCTGTAGTTGTGTATCATGCCCCAGTGTCACAGTATAACCCTACTGACATGTGTTCCCAATTAACATATCTCAGCAATATTATGGGAATGCACAGGCTTTATAAAACTAAAGGAAAAATTCACATCTGCCTTACAATGAATTGTCTTTGGTGAATGGAAGAGAATCTGTCTCAGTTGCCACTGTATTTTTATGTAGATTGATTCACAGATTCTAAGGTAAGCTTAGCTCCAGTTCAATGAAAATAATTTATGTTTCAGAATGAACTCTTCTTGTACATCACCAATGCCTGTTCAGTTTAAACTTGGAAGGATGCTAAACAGAACCTGACTCTGACCTAACTCTATTTACTTGGTTCAAGCAATCCTGCAGTCATTTCAGTGCAGTTACCTGGCCACAAAGCCAGAACAAGGTCATAATCTGGCTCTGTACTGTCACTTCTTGTATTATGATGATTACTATTATTTTATTTTATAAATGTAGATTTACCCTTGGAATAAACCTTTTAAGTGTCAACAGGACAAAGACTAGCAGAGCAAGAACACCCAGTATTACTCCAGAAAGGTAAAAGAACTTGGCACTCCTGTAAAGAGAACAAGAGAGACGGTGAGATGTATTGTTTGTAATTGGTTAAGATGCCAACATTTGTAAAAACAGCAGTGATGTTCAATAAGAACTTAAATTAGCTGTAAATTAGAGTTGCAGTTATATGGTTAACAGGCCCAGTTCAGGTATTAAATATGTGTAAGGAAAAATTCCCAACAGATACTCAAGGTCACTGGAGTTGTTACAGGTTAAGAGACTGTGCTGGGGTTTTTTAAAGCTCACACTAATTCTGATTGCATTGACCTTCTAGTCTCTACTACACAGAAGAAAATGAAATAACCTATATGGTTCTGTACTGCATGAGAAGTTTTATTTTAATTTAAAATGCAGAAAACCCTCCACAAAGCCACAAGTTTTTTTCCTAAGTGTATGCATTTATAAATTCCATCTGCTTAATTCAGAGTTAATGCTATAAAACCTACTGCTGCTCTGCTTGTTTTAGAGGTGTCTCCTGACAATTATTATGTGACTCACTTTGCTTTGAAGTTGTGGGCACATATTTTGCTTTAACAAGTAAGTATCCTCCCTTACATGCTATGAAAAATGTGCATCAGAAGAAAGGCTGGCACAAAGGTGGAGGCAGAAGAGGCCCCAGATGACTTTATCCTCAATATTTCCCCCCAAGGAAAGGCATCATTAATAATCAGCATTATTTAGCATTCAGCTATCCTCAGTGGTCTACAAAAGGGAAAAAGGACTTTTCTGATCCACACACTTGCCCACTGAGGATTGAATGTATTGGTGTCCCCCAGTGCAGGGAGCTTGGATACAAAATCCCTAACACAGCTGATTGATAAACAGTTAGGCACTCCAAGATATGTCACTCTGTCCAAACACAAATGGTATGAGGAAGTATTAAATATATATTCAGTTCCTTATTTCACTTTCCCAAAGAACTGCCTCTTTAGCTTAGAAAACAGACCAAAGATGCACAAGCTTTGGGAAAGAAGGACAAAAGCAGCCAGTACTCACCTGCTCAGGCTGTTTGCAAAATGGAACAGAAAAATTCCAGCTACAAACAAAAACAAGAGCTTTCCATCTAGCACTAAAAAAGGGGGAAAGAAATAGAAATTGACTTTAGAGTAATTCAATCTGAAATGCTGATTATATAAAATATCAACAGAAAAGTCCCAAGCTTCTTACAGAAGAGATGGTACATTCAGTAGCACTGGCAATACCAAGCCATCTGTAATCTGAACTCAAAGATTTGGTACTTACTTTCTCTTTTCACCCTCACAACGTATGGTTCAATTTTGAAGGGTTGGATTTTGAAACAAACGTCCTCTCCATATTGTTTTATGCTCAGAAAAGTTTCTGTACATGTCTCTGGCTTCCAGAGGATTTGAACAGCACATGCAACAAACTCAAAAACAGTTTCTGAATTCCGGCAGTTGTTTTTTTCTGAAATAGGCTCAAACCGGAACCTTTCTCTGCTGTTAACTTTTATCTGGAAACAAAGAACAAAATACACAGAGAAGCAGCTCAGAATCACTGTGGGATTTGGTGAATTATACTGCATATCAGCCATGCATGTGGTAATGAAAATCAGTCTTAATTGTTTAGTATTGGTTATTTATATTATGCAAAGATTAATTGTTTACAATTCAACACTTTTCAAGGTAATTCAGAGAACTCACTGTCAGCGAAGTTCAGTGGAGGGGCCTCAGTCCATTCAAAAGCACAGTGGGTCTGGTTTTACTGAGACACTTGCCCACACAAATTTCTAACAAAGCTAGTAATAGCTGACTGACCACAGTTTGTTTTGTGAATGTTCATACCTCTCCTCCTTCCCCTCCTGAACTGTAACAAATTTGACTTGCTTTTCTTTATAATGCCATCTTCATGTTGCATTATTATAAAGAATCATTGAGATCATTGTTGTCTCTTATGTTGGGGACATAAGAGGGATGAGGAAAATGAAAGATAGCATAAGCAGAAATTTAAATATAAGCACATTCCTGTTGGGTAATTTGGGGTTTTTTTGCTGGTTCCCAGTGCCCTCCTCCACCAAACTGGTAAAAGATCTTTTCCATCTTCTAAGCTGAGGTGATTTTCCTGAGGACTCTGATACATTCTTTAGGGCCTACTAGACAACAAAGACCTATCTGCAAAAAAGTGATGCAATGGGTAATAAACCAGGTTTGTACTGGGAAAGGAGACAATGTGTCAGCAAGCAGCTTGTTGTGGAAAAAATCTGAACTTCTGCTTTTAAACACTGACTCCAGGAAAGTTTGTGGGACTGATGGAGGGCTCTACCACCTGGAGGCTGCTACCATTCATATAAACACCTGCAACATGTTCCTGAGGAAAACAGTCCTGGGAACAGAGATGTTCCAATTTCTTATACCTGAGAGAAAAGTCCTCCAACAGAGACAAAATGAAATGGTTTCCTTCTTTTGTCTGGAGACAAACTTCTCAGGAAAGAAAAGGAACCATGGAGATTGTCAGCTCACTCCTTTAACTGTTCCTCCACTCTCTCTTGAAGGGATTTTTATTTGCTTCAATCAAATCTCTAAATGTGTGACTTGTAAGATGGCCCTCTGCTACTCAGGAGAACAAACACACTGCTGCTGCTGTTTGTTCATTAGTCACAATCCAAGGAGCCTTTGGTTCCTACACTTTGGTGTGCTGTGGTGAGAGAGCCACAGAACTGCATGTAGTCCTCAGATTTAGAAGCTCCATCAAGGCAGTTGGTGATAGGCAGAAGCATTTGTTTCAGAGGTTAACAGTGATGCATCAACAGAAAAGGTGTACAAGAAAATAATACACAATCCTGAGTTAATGTTTCTGTGGCACCATCACACTCTAAGCCAGAGACAAAACCTCACTGCATCCCAACTGGAGAATCATAATGCTGCATTTTTATCATGGTCCCAGCTATTTAATTCCATAGAGATGCTGCCCTGATCCTGCTAACTGGCTGGGAAAAGCTCACATGAAATGTACTGACCAACCCCCAGAACAGCCTCTCACCTGGATAGTTGACCACAGGTACTGTAAGTGAATGGTTCTGTTTTGCACATAGCAGTAACAGTTTTCATCCTGCTTCTGGATGACATCCATTTCCTGCAATAAGCTGCAGTTTTTACCTGGGGGGAGCAAAAAAGTTAATTTTAGGCATGTGTCAAATTCAAATGTCTAATTATAGTCCATTTCATTGTTGTAAATGCTGACAGAAATGTGTTCAATATGATTTAGATAGAAATTCAAATTGGACTTTTGATCAAGTCATTTAGGCTTCAAAGTAAACTGCAACACCTTTGGGAAAAAAAAAAAAAACACAACAGGGTGGTATTTTTAAAAAATGTACTCCAGAAAAGCTTGGCTTCAGCATCAGTGTTTTGATGGCACTGGAATAGGGCCTCTGGGCCAAATTCACTGCTGGCATGAGTGGGTGTAACTCCACCAGAGTTCCCTGTACCAGTGGTGAATGCAACTGTGGGAGTCTGAGCAGGTAAACATATTAACACAGTCATTTAGCACATGACATGGCTGCTGATCACAAAAGTCATACTCCTCTGCCTCAGAAATGTTTATGATGTTAAATCACACCACTCTTCCTTTCAGAACATTTTTACTCCTGTCCCAGTCCAGCCATGGCATGTAGTAAGGGAACTACACTGACAGCTCACCATAAATCGTTGAATTAGAGATGTGAATGGTTCTAACCCTCCTGAAACCTTAGTGAGCCCCTATGATCTTCGGAATTAAGATTGCACTTTTGAGCAAAAGTGGACCTAAAAGATTAATGGAGCAAAGTTTCAGATACATTCTGATCTATATACATGTGTAAAATATACCCTACAGTACATTACCACAGTGTTTCAAGAACATAATTAAAGAGAAGCATAGAGGAAATAATTACACATCCGAACAGAGGGACTCATCTAGCTTACTGAATAGAAAATGTAGGTCTCAGCCAAGCTCAGTAATAACTGCTAACACGCTGTCATGCACTCAGAACAGCACAATGGGTATGTGCAATCTCAACCCAGACAAGGAGATGCTGTTTGCAGTTAAAAACCTGCTGTGTCTCTATAAGGAAGATGAAATTAAGCTAAATTATATTTTAACAAATTTAGTTAAGCCAGTGAAAAATACTGTGTGGAGGTTCTTACTCAGGTTTATTATAGTTCTTACTTAGGTTTATTACAGCATTACAGAATTATTGTCCACACATGATCCTACTAAACTGGTTTAACCTTAAAATTTGGGCATTTTTTCTTGTGGAAAAATTACCCATCAGATTAATTTTCATCCGTGGCAAATCTAGTGGGAGGGAGCACAACCACTCAGACAAGCACTGGCTGTACCTTTAGACAGGCACTTTCATAAAAGCCATTGCACGATGCTGCAGAAGGATTATTTGTCACTGATGCAGCAGGGAGGTGAGGCTGGGCACTACCCAGGCCTAAAACCAGGATAATCCAGCAACAGGAAATGGCAGGGCCAAAACACAGCCCAGAGTGTCCACACCTCCCCTGAAGGGCATCTTAGGAATTCCTGCCACCACGGATAAAGTATCCATCCGTGTCAACGGCAATGTCATCCACGTGCAAGGCCGGCAAGTGTTTTCCTACTGCCCATAGTTTTAAGGCATTTTTCTTGAGGAAAAAACAGCTGCTTGAGATGTTGCATCAGCTCCGCAGAGTGAAACAATGATGTTCCAAAAGGAGAGATGCTTCTGAACAGGTATCTCTGAGGTGGTGCTGGGTTTAGCTATTGGGAGGACACACACGTAGAGTGACTCTCAAATTCTGAGACTGCAAGCAAGGAAATTGGAAATTATGAGCCATCAGCATCTGCTGCAGAATCCGGAGATTGCCCAAGACTGGAGAACGTCAAAGCAAGGAGGAAGCCGGCTCTCGAGTTCCTTATTGCTACTACAACTGCGCACAGCCCTTAGGGGTTTGCCTGCCCTCAGATATGTTAATAAAAGACCTGTTCTGGCCCGAGCTCCTGAGGAAGCCAGAGGGAGTCGCACACCCAGAGGCAGCTCCCGGCCCCGCCGCTGGAGCGGGCGGGACGCGCCCGCCCTCAGTGCGCCGCGGTCCCTTTGTCCGTGTGCGGGCTCCGTGTCCGGGCCGCTTCCCAGTGCCCCTGCCCCCGGCCCCGGCGCGGGGCCGTCCTGCGGGACCCGAACTGCGAGGGAGAGCAGGGGCACACGGCAGAGCGCCTCAGGCCGCGGCTGCCCCGGCTCCGCTGCAGCTGCCGGCGGGGCGAGCGGCCCCGGCCCGTCAGCCGGGCAGCGCCATGTTGGGCGGCAGCGGGGGCCGCGGGGCCCAGGGACAGCGGGAGCGGAGCGAGTCCCCCGCTCCCAAAGGGATGGGCTGAGCAACCCCCGGCCTGTGAGCACCCGCCCTGCCCCGGGGCCGGGAAGGGAACGGGCAGTACCTGCTGGCGGCGCCTCCCCGCTGCCCGCGGCCGCCCCGGGCAGCGCCAGCCGGACAAGCAGCAGCAGCAGCCCCGGCCCCGGGCGGGCCCGCGGGCGCTGCCGGCGGCGGGGCGGCCACGCCGGACCCATGCGGCCGCCGCCGGCTCCAGGCTCGGCCCTCGCGGCCGACGCAGGGCGGGGCAGGGGCGGTGCGGCCCCGCTGCCCGCTCCCCCCGCGGGGCTGCCGGCGGCCCGGGGCTCCACCCGCGGCACCCAGAGCTTGTGCGGGGCTGAGGGACCCGTCTGGAGGGGGACACCGCGCCCTCCGCTCCTCTTCCGCCTTCCGTGGGGATGAGAGGGTGCGCTTGGAAAGGAGGAGGAAAAGCATCGAAGGTAACCGCTCAGCCCAAGCGTGTCCTTGCATTGTGATCCCCTCAGAGTGAGAGCGTTGGGTGCCCAGTAAAGGTGCAAAGCAGCTCCAAAACAAACGTGGACAGCTTGTGACACTTGTAGACCTCAACCCAGGCGGTCACCCAGCTGAACGGGGACGGTGGATGTTGTCCTCCTTACACACCCAGTTCCCAGCCCCAGGGAAAGTTCACCAGGTCACCAGGGTGCCCTTTCGGCAAGCAGCGGTGCCTGAGCCAGACACTGAACCACGCATTAATCAGCCCCTCTGTCCACCCAGAGGACCTGCCCGAACGAAGTGTTGTTGGCTGATGTGATGGAGGTGAACATGCACAGCTACTCTGTATTTCCTGGGCAGCCACAAGGGAGAGCCAGGAGCAGGACACCGTTCCCCTGTCAACCCTGAGAAGACGTGAGCGACGTCCAACTCAGCTCAGACCCGCTTGCTCATTGCAGTCATTTTAGATCGCTAGTGAGTCACAGTCACCAGTCAGGGGTGGAAAGGACTGGAGCTTTTTTCCCTATTCTATGAAAATCAATAAACACAGTTTTGCCAAGGCATTCTGGCATCACTGTTGTCTATTTTTATGCTGAGCCCTACATTTGGCTTTTCCAACCTACTTGCTTTGCTCCAATGCGTTCCATTCCTTGTTCTTAAAACAGTGCCCCTTCTCTGCGTGAAGGTTGCTTTTAGTTTTATTTTTTTTATTGTTTGGGGCTGTATCCAACTTCTGGGGGTGCCAGGATGGGCTTTTTTAACACCTGAAGGGTGCTGCCCACTGCCTCGCACCTTGTCTCGGCGCTTACATCTGCAGGGAGTGGGTGGTGCAGGGCTGTGGCTCTCCTCGCCTCACCTCCTACGCCCGCTTGGTGCTGGCTGGGCTCACATCTAACTGTGGATTTTTCCTTGCAAACACTGAGGAAGTGAAGGATAAGGGCAAAAATAGTTGGGATTTGATAGTATGTGCAACATCTGACAAACTTGAGTCCCCAGAGGAAGCAGTAATTGATTTATATCTTTGTCTTTATGTAACTTGGGTGTTGTCTCTATGTAACTTTCCAGGCACTTCCTCTAGCAAATCTAATAAAGTACTGGGGTTTGTTCCTTGGGTCCCTGATAAGCCCTTAGGAATGTGTTACCTCTCAGCTGTGTGTCTACACAACAAGGGACCATCACAGCCAAGTTATTAGAGGAATCCCTCTCACATTTTCAACTTGGAATATTTTTTCAGTTATATTAACCTTCTTGACAGTATTTTTTCTGGGAAGGGAGACACTCTGCATTCAGTTCTCGCTTGTATTTTCATTTTTAGAGCTCTTAGCACTTCACCGCTAATTAACTTTCAATAACTGTCGTAGGGTTACAGTTAGTCAGCATGAATCAGACAGAAAATGTAGCTTTAGGGGACCACACTCTGTCAAAAACTATTAGAAACCTTTGCTTGATTTCCGAGGAGACTATACTCACTCAAGCAGGATATAGCAGCTATTAGGCAGCATTCTCCTGCAGTAAGAAATCCTCAATAAAAGAGACTCAGTGGTTTTGGTAACAGCCCTCCTTTCAGGGTGGCTCTGAGTAATTCTGCAGCTTTTTCCTTTCTTCCCATTTGTTTGTCTGATTTCCTAAATGGTGGTGGTGCTCAGGCCAAAGCTGGGGTTCTGAGTTTAAAGGCTGTATTTTTACCTGTTTGCTCACAAATATAATTCAAAATAGGGGGAGAAGGGGGAGGTCACTTATAGGTGCAGGCCAGCTCTGCCCTTCCCAGGCGTTTTCAGCTGTGGAAAATTGAGTGAGAACTGCTTTTGGCTGGGAGCACTCAAGAGAAGACTTGGCTGTGGCAGGCAGCAATGCTGTTGGTGCCAGCGATGGGGGACATTCCTGGGATGCAGCATGCAGAGCTCTCAAGCTCCATGCATGACAAATTGACACTTTAATAATGGGGAAGGAGGAAGGGGAGCAGTGCAGAGCCATGTCCACAGCATGTGTTTTCCTCCTAGGCTTTTGGAGTCCTGCCACCCCATACACTCTGACCCCTAAAACACTCAACATCATCCACAATGCCCTCATCTGGGTGTGTAAAAGCTGGCTGCAGTATTAGATGGGATACCAAATCCTCTCGATGCTGTTAATCCATGTTTTTCCACAAAGGCCCCAGGTGCTCCCTGCTGATGATTTATTTGGCCTGTGCAGCAGGAATAGGCATCAGCTGTGTGAGGTGGGGAGGGAGCTCCTCTGTGCTCCCAAAGCCCTGCCTGCCTTGGGCTCTCGTGCTGCTGGAGGCAG